ATCTGATTAGTCGACTAATCGCAAAAATAATCGGTGACTAGTCGACTATCAAAATAATCGTTTGTGGCAGCCCTAGTCAGCTTATATATCGAGTAGATGTAGATGTAACAGGTTCATAATATGATTTCAAGTTTCTGCACAAAAGTATTGAATTTAAAATTTGTTTATAAATTTGGCTGCCAGCAATTATGGTCCGGATCAAACGATGACTATTTTGACTATTTTTGCTCCAGCAGGAAGCAAGTGTGTGATCATGTATGAGTTGTATAGTTTTAATGTTTTATTTGGGAACAGAAAGGTGTGTATGTGTAAGTTTGGTGATGGAGTTTTTATTATGAATGAATGATGAATTTTTATGAATTATTATGTCTATTTTTTATGCTTAAGGACAACAGATGGAAATTAGCCCTTGGCTATAATCTGGTATGTTTACATTCATGTAATTTTTTTACATTTATGTTCATTAACATGCACTGTCCTAAATAAATAAATAAATAAATTTGGTCCTCCACAAAAGCAAAGCCTGATCAGTTGAGTTCAGCTCGAGTCAGGATGATTAAAGGAGAGCTTTAGCTCAGTAAGATCTTTCTAGAGGAAGTAAAACTGAGGTTTCTGTAAGTGAACCTGTGAAAGGATTATTAGTATTTGCCTTCAGCTTCTTTTATCTTCAGAGTGCTCACAGGCTTTCACATGGTCTGCTTTCAGCTCTGTGCCACTCGGCTCGTAGGTGCAGTGCAGAACATCAGTTCAGCGTTGCCCGCTGCAGTCTTCGCCCCCATCTGTACCCCAAAAACTTCCTGCAATTCATGTAACATGGGCTCTGCCAACAAAAATGCCTGTTAGGGTGTTTTAGGGACAGACTAACACCTTTTTCTTTTCTTTTTTCCTTCTTCCTTAAGCTGTTTACCAAATAAGCTCTTAGAGTGTCTGTAGTTTTAAATCTGCAGAAACCGTTTCAGACCACGACCCTTTCTGGAAGAGCTCTGAGGTGAACGTGGTTCAGCCTCAATTGGAACAGGCAGTTGACCGAAGGGCAGCTGACATAGACAAGAATGAGACTTTCTGGCTTTAATCACAGCACCAGAGTTATTTTTTATTTATGTGTGCGGTGATTTTTATCAGAGGTAGAAGTTCAAATCAGAACGTCAGCATTAAAGAGCAGCAGTTCGGAAAAAAGGCTGCCGAGACTTTGTTGTGTCAGTATTTCAGTCCTTTAAATGTGTGACAGCAGAGACAGAAAAATACATCACAGAGAATTTGGTACTGAAGCACACAAGGTGACATGAAAACCCAGAACCCCCACACCTAATCGTTGGTTACTGGCTTCCAAAATGATAGATTTTGCATGACTTGTCAGCTAGTTACACACTCGGGTTTTGTGCAGGTTTCAGTTGTCAAACCGTTTTTACAATGTTAGGTGCAAAGTTTATCACACAAACAGATGCTTCAATTATTGATGTGAGTTGATGGAGGCTTGTGCTTAGCCCCATTCATCACAGCAGCAGTGACACTGTGTCATTATGTGGATCAAAGGTCACCGGCTTTACAGCCACACCATTCTTTTTCTGCTTTGTATGCGAACACAGCGAGGGCCCGTGTCAGGGACAGGCGCCCGATTGTTGGGCGGATTATCACCGCTTTACAAGCAGGACAGAAAAGAAGGTGTTTCCAGTGGTGTTTTGTTGTGTCCCCCCCCTTCCCGTTACACTGAGGTCAAATGTTGTGGAAGTGATCATCCAATCGGGCCTTGGGGATGACAGAGTGATGTCGAGAACTTGACCCACAAAACCTCATGACGTTTGACTCGTGTATAAACAGAAAGCAAAGAGTGCAGCTAAGCGTCCTTTTTACGTGGAAAAGAATTCAGGAAGGCAGGGCTTGATGATGTAAGTGTTTTGCTCGCATTTGTGGCTAAAAATAGATGCACAAGGACAATAAAAAGTATTTAGGAGCGTATGTTCAAATATTTAGCCAGAAGGATGGAGCGTTGTAGAGCTGACAGAGGCAAGTGTTAAAGCCCATAAGAGTCCTTCATTAGACCGCCTGAAGAAAAGTGACATTTTTGGCTGCTTGTTTAGTCTGCTGCGAGCTGTAAATTTGGTAAACTTCAGGTTTATAGAAGCTATCCAATCTCTCTAGCAGGCTTACCTGCTATTACAGTTATTTTAAAGCTTTAATAACAAATATTGTCTTACACATTTAGATTTTAAAAACATAGCGGCAAACTAAACGGACAGCTTTTGTTTTGACTTATCTTTATGCGTTTGCTTTATTGCTGTGTGAAGCGAGAAAGCAGTGGATGAGAGCAGCTGAAAAGATTATTTTCTTCACGTTTGTTGAGCGGTCGGTCCAGAAAAGACTGATTGGATTTTTACCTGCCGTGATTGTGACAATGACGAGTGCTGCTCCTGTTAACTGAAGAAAAACATTTTTGTTTCAATGCGCCTGGTTTCATCGCCTCATCAGAGAAATGAGGCTGAAAATCAACCAGAAATTACACACATGATCTGTGTCAGTCTTATTGCTGGTTTATTATCAACCTTTCTGTTGAGACAGCAGATTACAACATTAACATTAATCATTTTTAATCACTCACATGCTGCTAACTAATACAGACTGCAGTATTCTCTGCAGTCTGTATCAGTTTTTAGCCACATATGTGGAATATGATGATCATTGCCGCCTTCTACGATACAGTCTTATCAGAATACTTCACTCATGATATGACAATTTAATTTTTAAAAAAAAATTTTGCGATGAGTATTGCAATAACACGTACTCTACTTTATCACATTTTGTCAGCTGCATTCTTCAGTGATGTCCTCAAAGTTGAACTTTGCCAGTATCTGTTTTATCCTATAAGATAAAGTTATCACACTTAAGCTGTTTTCTTTTCTTTTCTTTTTTTCTTTTTTTTTTTTTTGGCTGCAAAAATTCGACTGTCATGACAACCTGCCATAAATGCTGCCAGACGAAGTCTGTGTGCTCTGTCTGCTATTGAATGCGGTCAAGTAGGCAATTAACTGCGATAAACCATTGACAAGCACATATCTGCTGCTGTCTACATAGACAGCAATTCACATTTAACTAATACATTTCCACTCTGCAACCTTCCTGTTCTATAGGCATATAAACCAGAATACAACTAGCTGGCAGCCTGTTGTGTTCAGTCCCCTCGAATCCTGGTCATTGACAAAGACTCATTTAGACTCATAGCAACTTGTTGGCAATCTGTCTCATTTATGAATTAGCAATTATTTGAAAGCTTCCAACAATTTTTCTGAGTTACTGCAGTCAGACAAAGTCGGATTGCAACTGTTGGTATTAAAATTGCCTCCTATCTGGCAACCTGTGCAATCGCCCTGCCATCATAAGTGGTCATGAGAGCGCAACAGCATCAAGCTCTGGGCAAACATTTTGTTACCACGAGTCTTAATCTGTTGCAGAATGTGAAAACATTCTATACAATGATTTCTTTCTTTCTTTGTTTCTTTATTTGATTGACCCAGATTATTGTGTTTGATTACAATACAGATTTTTGGTGTCTCTGTATAGATACAATACCACCTTAACAAAATATTGCAATGCTACTATGTATCTTTTTTTTTTCTTTTTTTTTTTCTCTTTTTTTTAAATACCCCTAATAAAAATTGTCAAAAAAGGTTAAAAGTTCGCTTTTTTGTGTGCTCCACAAGCAGCAAATGTAGCAGCTGTTAAAGATAGAAAACTGTTTACTTTCTATGGATGCACCTGTTGTTTTCAACATAACTGCATGATTGTTCTATGCTGGGATGCACCATCACACACGTACATATTTTATTTTATTTTTAAAAGTGAGAAAAAACCATAATGTTAAAATTCAGTCATATAAGCATGAGTGCTGGTAAACCCATAAAAGCACGAGATAAACATCAGTAAATGTCAGTATCCACAGGCAGCAGGAAATGGAAAATCCTTTATTGAATGGGAATATAAAATGCAAAATCTGACCTTGACAAATGCAACAGTTCAATAAAAACAAGAGCACAAAAGAACAATTACACATTTTATTTAAATAACTGGCTAAATATTAAAGCCTGCATCGTTTAATGCAAAACACTGTCGACTAAACAAACAGCTGCTGAATATGAATCAAAGCCACGTTGTGTAATCGAGGCCTATAAAGTAGATGGGTCTAATTCACTGGTTGTTTCTGTTATGAGTTGCAGAGCTTTTCGTGTTACTGTATTTGTATTATTGCTAATTGATAGCTTTTCTTGTACATTGGTGTGACATACTTTCAATGTGTCAGAACAAGCCGACGTTTGATTTTTCACATTTTGTCATCATGTCTGTCTGAAGTGTCTGAAATGAGAATAGTGGCCTCCGTACATGTCTTTAAGCACAGATTGAAATGTTTTGAACACAGCATATTGTCAGTTTTTCCATTACAATTTTAAGAGAAACAGCAACGTGTTGGTAGTTTAAATTAGTGTAAGTTAAGTCTGTACGAGGAAAATATCCACACATGCTCTGATTGTTATTCTGTCCATATACAAGCATTAAAAACAATTTGTGTGAAAAATCAGATGTAATAACGCAACTGTCAGACACTACCTCCTGACTCCTTTGTCTTACACATGTGCCAGCTGATGATACGCTGATAAACATCCGTTGTTGACTCAGACTTGTTTGTCCCTTCTGCCCCCCTGTAGCTTACTTGGTGACACAGAGACTTCTCCCTGAGGAGCCAAGAAGCAGACGGCTCATGACTTCTGACCAGGACACGAAAGTTGTAGCTGAACCACAGGTGCAGCAAGTACAAGAGGCAAAAGAGAACTCTCATTTGGTGAGTGTAACGCGCAAACACTCATGTTTTTCAGTCGAGCTTTACACCACTGTGCTGTTTTTACTGGAGCCACCTGCTCGGTTTGTTGCAGTTCAATACTGTTCCAGCATGTGTTGAGCTTGTATGCAAACACAGTCATTCAGGGAGTTGTAGCTGCACTTAAACTGAACAAAAAAGGTTGGAACTGATCCTGTTTTTGGTCTGGATACCCTTTAGCTGAAGAGCCAGGCATATTTCTTTGGATCTTTGGCCCTACAAAGGCGTGATTGCTGACTTTCTGCAGTCGCTATTGTTGAGCGCAGAAATTTACATGCAAATGTAAGCAAACTTGGCTCGGTTCTTGGGAGCAACTTGAGCAGCGCTGTAGACAGTGACTACAATGAAAGATTTTTAAAAACAAGAAAGAAACTGAGGTGGAGCTTAGAGTAGAAGGAGAAGGAGGGGTACACGGTAACACGCCGACCTGGCCCGTGTTCCTGTTCTGCTAAGTCAATAAAGTCGTTACACGAATGAACCGTACAGAAACAATTTGGTTTATGTTGTTTCCAGTTCATTAAAACAATCCATGTGACTGATGGAAAACATGGCGCACAATTTTTGGCTGCATCAGGGACATTTTCACACTGGTTTTCAGACAAAGTTTGATGTCTGTGTTAAGGATACACAGCAGCTTTTCATTAATATTCAACGAAAATGTCTTAACGAGGGCACAGTACTAAAGCAAATACATTAGGGCTGTAAATGAATATTCTTCCTATGATTATATATTTGAGTGAGTCTTTGTAAAATAGATGTTTAAATGTGAAAATAATAGATTGTGGGGTAAACATAGATTTGAGCAGAGCCTTATCAGCTGGAGAGAGAAATTATTTTGTCCTTTAAACAGTGTCATAAGTCATAAAACTTTTATTTTTATTAAGTTTTTTGTTCTATTAACTCTTTTATGCTGATTTATATGTGGAAATAATAGAGGTGGGAATCACCATACATCCCACAATACGATATTATCACAATACTTAACGCACGATACGATATTATTGCAATTTTTTCTTTAAATATTTTGCGATATTCAGATTCTGTACATAAAGGTAAACTTTATCAATATTCATTTGATCTAATA